TTTCTCCATACCCCTAATCCTAGATTGGTTTCAAACCATCCACCATCCGACCAAGGCCATGAGTCATCATCATCACCATTATCGTTGCTTTTTCTCGATCAATTGTAGTCGGCTACACTAATCATGGTATGTCATTCTGCTTTATTAAAGGTCATATTATGAATGAGATCTTAAGTTTCTATATTTTTTCAAGCCGGGAGCCACAATTGCAATATTTATATTTTCATTCAAATAACGAAAAATTATAAGTGTAAACAAGTCGGGTCTCGATCCAAGGTCATACCAATTTCTGGTCTGGTCCATAACGATCGGGTTGGGTCTTGGTTAGGTCCAACCATGACCTAATCAAGTCTAGTCCAAGCTAAACCAAGACCATAACCTAACCGTTGCGACGCTCATATCCATAATTCTGGGCCTGAACCCGGCCAGTCATTGGCTCAATAAGTTGGATACAAACATGGATCCGAGTCGGTCGACCTGTTGGGTCTCTCAGGAAACATGGAGAGGATTTCTCTAGAGGTGAAAATTGAGGACAAGGACAGGAGGAAATCCATATTTTCTTGCAGAGTTTGAGGGATTTTCCGTTCTTTTGGCCCTTGCATATAAATTCACCATAAAAAAAAAAAAAAAGGTTTCTTTTGGATGTAAAAGAACATTGTGCATCTTTTTCGTTTTTTTGTCTTCATTGTTTAATCTGATCTTTGACTACCAAAATTGAATCCTAAAAGTGTTGATCGCTAGATTTTGACGTTTTGTGACTTTGAAAATTGTGTTTTCATTGTTTATGACCAGAAGAACTGAGGCAATGGCCCTTGCCTAACTTTTTGGGTGCAAACTGCACTGTTTGACTATACCGATGGAGCAGATCTCAGCAGCGCGCAATAATAGATATATATTCGAGTACCAAAATATAATTAGAGAAATAATCTTATAAGACCTTTTTTCACTCATGTATGTAGGACTCCAAAAGATCACCATTAAATTTGATACGGATGTATAGAAAAGTCAAATCTCACACTCGCAATAATTTTTTTAGAGATCTGTATCAACTTTAATGGTAATCCTTTTAGTTTCTATACACATAGTGGCATAGAGTCCTATAAGATCATTACTCATATAATTATATTATAAGATTGTATGTCTCAATCACTTTTAGCCGTCACATGTGAAATTAGACCGCCACATGAGTGCCCACTCAAAATTCAAGAAAAGTTTCTTCAACTTCATTACCAGAGCCATCAAATTTCATGTATGATAATCAAAGATGCTTGTGATATTCTTGTACCAAAGATAAATATTAAAAAAAATTATATACAAACACGACACGGGGGTCAATTATCAAATGAGATATTATTTACCTGAAATTATGAGCACCATCTCTCCCATAGCTTTTTTTATTCTCATGTCCGATAATGCAAACATCATATAAGAGGACTATTTTTAAGTGAACTACTCTTTGTTGTCTGATACTTGAAATACACGACAGTTAACCACATCAAGTGCCTCTGTTCCACGCAAACTCTCTCTCTCCATCTTCCGCCCCTTTCTCTCCTGCTGCCTCTCGCACACCCTCCCTCCCGCTGCCCCTCTCTCAATCTCTCCCTCACACCCCCCCTATCTCTCCCTCTCTTTGGCAGCCATTAGCATGCAATTGAAGCTTTTTTCACCTTTTGTTTACTAAAACAAACTCTCTTTCCTCTTATGGCTTCACTTTTCCAACAACGCCAGAAGTGATGCAAAAACAATCTTACCAGAAGCTTCGGAAGCAAGCGTTAATGAATATCCAGTGCAATTGAAGCTTTTCTTCATTTGCTCAAGTTCTTCTTCATGACCAGAAGAATCGAAGCTTTATTCTCCTTTTTCATTCAACTCAGTACAATTCCAATAGCTTCATTTCTCCATATTTTTCTACCTCTCTACTATTAACAAAGCAGCCAAATCATTTTTTCCCTTTCATCCTAACTTTCCTCCTAAACCGGAAGATTCAAAGAGAGAGAGAGGGGGTGAGCGAGAGAGCGAGGTGCGAAAGATGGAGAGAGAGAGTTTGGGTGGGAGAGAGGCAGTACGACGAGTTTGATCCGTCAGTTGTCCGCATTTGAAATGCTCGACAATATATAGTAATTTATTTAAGAATAAGTCATGTTTGGTGTTTGTATTATCGAATAGAAAGGGCATGTTAAGAGAAAAATAAAATAAAATAAAAACGTGTTGCTCGAGAGGAGGTGTGCTCATAACGACTTGCCATTTGTAATTGACCCAAAGTGTTCCTACGTAATTTACAGGAAATTGCACTCTATTTGATAATTGACCTCAAAGTACGCATAGGTAATTTGAAAACAAATTAGAAAAAGCCTTTGTAGCATAGGGGAGGTGCTCATAATGACACCTCATTTGGCAAAATGTCGGTACCTAATTAATTTGCTCTCAATGTTATTGTTAGGTACTTGCCGTATACGTAATTAGTCTCATGCCAAAAAGATGTGCATGGTCATTTACTAGCTCCTCATTTCATCGAATTCTGTGATGTATAATTTCCTAGGCCTAATAACCATCCTCAAGGAAAAAATTTGAAACCTCTTTATGGTATCATATACTTGTATCATAATTGTAATTACCAATAGACTCAATTCTTAGATCACCTAAGCCTAGAACCCCGCTAAGGCCATAGGGTCTTTCGCTAAAAACATTCTCTTAGCTCTGTTTTCCTTTTTTAGGAAATCGGTAGGTGGAGAACGCCCCGTACCCGTTTTTTCATAAAAGGGTATTATTTTCATAAAAGAATAGTTCAAATTCTACGTGTATTATTTTCATAAATAGTTCAAATTCTACGTGTATTATTTTCATAAATAGTTCAAATTCTACGTGTATTATTTTCATAAAATAGTTCAAATTCTACGTGTATTATTTTCATAAAATAGGTCAAAACTATGGATGAAATGTTAAATAGTTCAAATTCTACTTGTATTATTTTCATAAAAATGAAGGAAAATTATCGTTAATATACTTTAATTTCAAGAAAATCACAAAAAAAAATCCCTAACTTTTTAAAACCTCGCCCACATTTTTTTCTTCAATTTTCTACATTTTTTGGATGAAAATACCATTTACGGTAGTGTTTTTACTATAATGCTTTGCGACCATTACGATAATTAAAATACCGTTATAAATAGATAAGGAATTACGGTACTTCTAGTACCGTAATAATGTGAACATCGATCACGGTACTTTAATTACCGTTATAACATAAAGTATTATGGTAATTAAAATAGCTTAATACGGTAAAAAAGTATTACAGTAATTTAATTACCGTAATATTGCCCAAGCCTCATAACAAAAGATTTTCTATTCTCTCGAATCTATTATCTATTTACTCCCTCGACAAAAATCCATGCTAGCTGTATTTTTCAAATCTCAAATTTTTAGGATACAATATCTACTTAATTTTTATACGGTTCTTAAAATTTTAGAACAAAAATACTGTTAAATAGACATTTTTGAGCAAGGGAGTAGATCCACATCGTGCTCCCATGAAAACATGATTTTTTGAAAAGAGAGATGGATAGCTGTAATATTAGCTTTGGTTTGAAGCTTTTAAAGTATTACGGTAATAAGAATACCGTAAAATAAAAAATATTACGATAATAAGAATACCGTAAAATCAAAAGTATTAGTATAATAAGAATATTGTAAAGTCTTTACGGTACTGTAAAAGCTTCAAACCAATGCTAATATCAGGACTACCCTTCTCTCTTTTCAAAAAATCCATGTTCCCATGTGAGCAAGATGTGGATTTACTCCCTCACTCAAAAACACCTATTTAAGAGTGTTTTTGTTCTAAAATTTTGACAACCATATAAAAACTAAATAGAGATTGCATCCTAAAAATTTGAAATTTAAAAATTACAACTAGCATGGATTTTTATCGAGGGAGTAAATAGATAGTAGACTCGAGAGAGTATAAAATCTTTTGTTTTGAGTTAGACAATATTACTATAATAAAATTACCGTAATACTACTTTTAAGGGATTATGGTATTTACGTAATACTCTATGTTATTACAGTAAAGTACCCTAATAGATGTTCACATTATTACGATACTAAAAGTACCGTAATTCTATCTCTATTTACAATGGTATTTAAATTACCTTAATGATAGCAATGCATTACTACATAAAGACTACGTAAAGGGTATTTTCATCCAGAAAATGCCAAAAATTGAGAAAACAAGAATGGACGCGATTTTGGGAAGTTAGGGCTTTCTTTTGTGATTTTCTTAAAATTAAGGTATATTAACAATAATTTCCCAAAAGAAAAAGATGCTATAAAGTTGAACCTGTAAAATTAAAATGCACCTCAAAAATCCATCATAAAATGTTGTTTTGATGTTAGAAAACCCTCTAATTGATCATCTCAATATCGAGATGTATGAATATGAAAAAAAAAAAAGATTTCGAATCCCAAAAATAGTATATCTCGCATAACATTATCTGGACCGTCTATTTTCAAGATTTTCATGTATTTATAGATCTACTTGATTTGAACCATTTTTTAAGTTTAAAGTTTTGTAATTAGATATCAAAATAAATTCTCAAGCCATCCTTAGAATTTTTAACGCCAAATTAAATTTATGATAAAATTTGAAAGCACGCCTTAATTTTGATTGCTTAAAGTTGTAACCTTATGCATACCGCACCCTTTCATAGAGTTCCCTAAAAGAAAAGAAAAAGTATACAATGAAACCATTTACTTTTTGTACAAGATGATCACAATTAATCTTGACCTTTGGATGTGAAAATGGGTCGTTGCATTATTCCATTGACCAAGCACAAAGTTAAAAATAAATTTTCTCAAATTTTATGACACTCAAACTATCAAATTCCACATCGAATGGTTATAAACAATTGTGACCTCCTTGTACAATAGATAAATGATCTCATTGTATACAATCCCATGAGAAAATACAAGCACACAGAATGCTAATAACCTGAAATTCTCAGTAATTTACAATCACAAAAAAGCAAAGCATTATACATCAATTAAATCTAATGTACAACATGCATTACCCCCTTTGTCATCGCTCATTAAGGTGCCTTTTTTTTTTGCGATTATAAAGACCACTTCGACTAAATTATGCAGCCAGTACACTGGTGGTACAATATGTAACTAACAGATCATTAAAAAAACAAAACTAAAAAAGGACAAAAAGAATAAAAAGTACTGTTAATATGGTTCAAAAAATCTAGAACTCCTTTGCCTTTCTCCTAAGCTCATTGAGCTCCTTCTCAATCTCCACGTCTCGAAAAGGAAAAGCTACACTTGAGCTGCTAACAGGTGTTCTACCGGCCGGGAGCTCCCCTTTCTGTTTCGATACAAAATAATACCAAAGGATGTAATTATTTTAAAATTATGAGACCTAGATGAAATGGTGAGCAGGAAAATATTTGACTTAAATGAAGTTTCTAGGAATAATTTAATTTTTTTTTTTCCTTTAATGAAATAGTGCAAGATTATGCTTCAGTTAAATTGGTTCTGAACATAAAAGTACTAACACAAAAAAAGAATAAAGAACGCTAAAAACATGGGTATAATGGAATTTAAACCATCATGGGGATCTCCCACCAAAGCACCAAGCCCAGAGGCAAATCCCCATAAGTGTTTTATACATTTCAAAGAAAAAAAAAATGAAATTATGCAATGTCATTTGAAAGAATAAAACAGTGAGAATTTCAAGATGACCGTTCCAACCAAAACATGGAACTAAAACAGAAGAGAAAGAACAGAAAAGAACGTAAATGGCTGCCTTAGGAAAGAACTGTGTAAAGTCTTACTGGGCTGCTCCCTGCCAATTCCTTTTTCAAGTTTGCAAGATCATCGTCGACAGATGAAGTCTCCAGCATTGCAAACTAACAAGAACGAAAACAAATAATGATTACCAAAAGATAACAGTAAAAATTAAAGAAAGAATCACTTGAATCATCATATTTTTAAATTTTAATGTAATATCCGAGATGGAATTAGAGAAATGACACCAAGGACAAGGGGCCCACCTTCCCTTCGAGATCATCAGTTGTCAACTGGTTAAGGGCTTCAGCTTGGGATTCCATGGCCATCACTGTACAGCAATGCTCAAGAGTATAGCAAAATCAGAGCAATAGAATCGAGTCATTTTGATTAATCACATGTTCTAATACAGGAAAAATATCAAAATTCTATAAATATTGCAGAAATTTACTGCCACACAATACCCGAAATTCTTGACCATAGTTACCAAAATGAACTGAAAAAGCTGATATTCTAGAGGGAATCAAAGAGCACATACCCTTTTCCTCCATCTTCTCAAATGCTGAAAGAGCACTGCTTGTGTTCACATTCCCTAACATCTCACTCACCTTTGTTGCAGTCCTAAGCAACACCAAGATGAGAATCCTCAGTATTTCCTTCCTTCCATTTTGATCTCTCTCTCTCTCTCTCTCTCTCTCTCTCTCTCTCTCACACACACACACACACACATCCCAATGTTACACCACATGGAACATGAAAATGGTAACGAGGACAAACTTTGCAGACTGTGCCCGCGCTTTGAGAGTGTCTTTTTTCGACCTGGCTTCCTGGATCTTGCTCTCCAAGAGCTGAAACACAAAGTTGCGTTCATACAGTAACAAGAAATTATGAATGAAGATGAAGTAGCCAACCTCATATATACGACATGAAGGAAACAATCAGGGAATGGTACTCCTGGAATCTGTTGTGACATAATTTTTATCATAATCCAGTAAAACAAACCCAGAAGTTCCAATAGTTTACAAAAATTAGCATTTAAAAGAAACAAGAGAAATTTAATTGAAGGCGAGGTAAGATGTGTGGGACCTTGGTATCTTCTCTACAAAAAACAAGACAAGAAGGTTTGCATGTTTGTTTTTGTGTGTGTGTGTGTGTGTGTGTGTGGTGGTGGTGGTGGTGGTGGTGGTGGTGGTGGTGGTGGTGGAGAGAGAGAGAGAGAGAGAGAG